TGGCAGCGGGCATGGTGGGCACTGTGCCCAGGATCCTGCTCGGGAACCTGCACATGACTTGGAAATAAATAGCSACCAGCGCACCGGAGCTGAGCCGGGCTGGCCAGAGGTGGAAAATCCACACGGCTGGAGCGGAACGGCGGGGTTGGGACTCCCGGGCAGGCTCTGCAGAGACGCCCCTGCCCGGCGGCAACGGGGCAGCACCTGCGCATGCGTGACCGTGCRGCGATGGGCACGCGCGGCGGCAGGAGAGCCCTGAGAGCTCGAGGCTGTCGCTGCTGACGTGTGGCAGCTCCCTGTGCCAGCGTTTCCCGATACTCCACCGCCGGCATGGGAAGAGAGAAAGTGTGGGTGCAAGGGAACGGAACTTCTCTGGAGGAGGGGAGAGGAGAGGAGCGGCGAGGAGAGGAGGGGAGAAGAAAAGAGAGGGGAGAAGAAAAGAGAGGGGAGAAGAAAAGAGAGGGGAAGGGGAAAGGGAAGGTGTTCCAGGCTCAGCGTGAGACTGATGAGGACCGACAGCAAACTGTTGTGGTTAGGGTGGCAAGCCATTACTGCTGATGTCAAGGGTGAGACGTATCCCTGTGTACAAGAAACAATTTGGCACCCTCATTAAATTATAGAACCCAGCAGAGACTTTCCAAAGTAATACTTTCTGTTTGTTGATCCAAAACACTGTAGCAAATGGGAGGCCTTGGGCATCTGCCCAACTTCSAAAAGAGAAGGCAAAATTTTATATAAAAAGTATCTGTGTGTCTTTTTCCTTCAACTGGCATAGAGCTTATCTTTGATACTTTACATAGGCCTGGTGTAGGAAAGAGTATAATTTCCCAAAGGCAAGGCTGCTTTTGGTAAAACATTTCTCGTATCCGTTCCAAAGGGATGGGAATGCCGCTGGGATGTGCGGACATGCCGCGAGGGCAGCGGGATGGGAGCGAGGCCCAGGAGCGAGGCCCTGGGCTGGCTGGGGGGTGCGATGCGCCCGCGGCCACGCAGCCTCCTCTGACTACAGAACTGCAGCCTGGGTACAAAATAAATAAGGGAAAACTAAAATAAAGTGAGATTTTTACCTCTTTGGCATAAGTAGGGATTTGGAGCAGGGAGATGCCTGGCTTTGGAAGTGGGGGCAACGTGATCGGGCCCTCGTGCCCCTTTGTGCCTCGTGTTTTGGACGTGTCTGTGCAAGTGCCTTTGTTCGCCTGGGATCCGCACCTGTGTCCATGTTCCATTCGGGAGCCGTCCCRCAGGAGCCCCTCGCTCTGCTCTGCAGCCTTCATCTTGCAGAAATGGGGCCTGGGGGACAGCTTTGGAGCAGGGAGCAGAGGTTTATCCTAATGACACGCGCTCAAGAGGCTGGAGAGCTTTGGGAAAGGGTTTTGTGATGGGTTATGCTTTGAGAGGCTTGGTTTTGTTTTTTTCTTCCCTCCCTCATTCCCAGCTGTATTTYGTGCATCTTAGCTCATTTAGAAAGGGCACTCAAAGGAAGGAGGAGAAGGGAAAAGCAGTCTCTGCTGGGARAAGTCCAATATCGGAAAAATAGTGCTATAATCTTGGGTGGTATTTAGCAATTTATCAGGAGGCACTCCGTACTTATAAAATCTCATAATAAATTGATAAGCCAGCTATCTCCAGCACTCCGCTGTGGAAAGAACTGAAGAGAGTGTAAATGGGGGGGAAAAGAAGCAGGAGGAAGAGAGCGGAGCGGAGGTTTGGTGCTCTCCGTGGTCAGCGACTTGAGAGGCGTTTTGCTGCGTGCTTGTTAGGCTGCATGGATTGGCAGGAAAGCTATGAGGAAGCGGAGTTTGGCTCTAGAGTAAACAATCAAATCTCYGTTTGCGTCAGGGAAGCAACAGTCAGTCGTAATCATGGCTAGATTACACCTCAGCCCCTCTCTCTCTCTTTTTCAGTCCTATTAAATATCTTTGACTAATCGAGCCTTTCCTGTGATGAGCCTGTTAGTGCCGGAGGGTTTGTTATCGGTACGGAGGAAGAAGCTTGAAAGCTTGAAAATCTGTCTCAAGCAATTGTCAAAATAGCTTATACAAAAGGGAAAAGGTGACACACAGATAAAACAGGTCTTTTGCATTCATGTATTTGGGGAAGAAAACAGATTTCTCTGATGTCAGATACTGAAGGGGAGAAAAGGGTGCTTATCTGATGCTGTTTCAGTGTTCAGAGTTTGGAAGGAGAAACTTTCCCCTGTGGCAATAAAAGCACMATGGTCAATTTTGAGGCAGAAACTACTGTAATCACCTAAATTTGGGCTTGGAGGACACTGGGAGCCCCGGAGAGCGGAGCAGAGGTCGGTGCTTCCCAGGGCTGTCCGGGGGCCTCTGCACCCGGAAGGCGCTCGTGCCCGTGGCTGCCTCTCGGCCCAGTGCTGCCCAGTCACAGAGTCACGGAAGAGTTGAGGTTGGAAGGGGCCTCTAGAGACCATCCAGTCCAACCCCCTGCTCCAGCAGGGACACCCAGAGCACGGGGCACAGGGCGGCATCCAGGCGGGTTTGGAGACTTCCAGAGGAGGAGACTCCACAGCCTCCCTGGGCAGCCTGTGYCAGGGCTCYGGTACCCTCACATAAAAGAAGYTCTTCCTCACATGGAGATGGAACTGCCTGTAGTTCAACTTGTACCCATTGCCCCTTGTCCTGTCACTGGCCACCMCTGAGAAGAGCTTGGCTCCTTCCTCCCTGCATTCTCCCTTCAGGTGCTTAGACACAGTGRTCAGATCCCCTCTCAGCCTTCTCTTCTTGGGTGCTGGGGTGTTTGTTYTAGCGGCCGGCGCTGCCGCGGGCACCTGCCGCCTTTGGGAGCGCCGTCACCCAGGGGCTGCCCAACTGGAGCGGCTCCAGGAGTGCCGCTCGCCAGCTGTTTCCTTCCTTTAGGATGGCGTCGCGATGGGCCTGGGAGTTCCCGTCCCCAGGGCGAGGAGGAGCGGCACGCGCCCCTTCATCCGACTGCACAAATGGATTCTCCTGTGGCGGCAGCGCCATAAAACTCCTCCCGGCGCCTTTGGCGCGGGGTTGTGGCCGGGCAGCCCCACCTCGCCCCTGTGTTTCCATAACATAGCAACAGCCGTGAGGACTCCGGCCCTCCTCCGTGCCGCATCCCGTCCCATCCGTGGGYGCAGGCCTGGCAGCATCCAGTGCAAAGGCTGCCTCTGGATTCGGGCTGCAGCCTGGCACTGTGAAACGCAGGCAAGGCCTGGGATCTGCCCCAGGGAGTGAGGGCTGGAAGGTTGAGGCGAGCCAGTGTTCACTCTGCTGCGGGCTGAGYGTTGAGACAGGAGTTGTGCTGAAGCCTTGCAGTCATTAAAAGATACTAAATACCTTACCCAACCTTCCAGCATTTAAAATAAATAAATAGAATAAATGTAAAGCAACCCCATCCCGGAGGCCTGGAGGAGCTCTCTGGCCGTCCATACGAGAGTCATTGGCCACAYGTGCTGCACATTTGGGGTTCCCCTCCTTACAGGGAGGTGACTCGGGCACCTGAGTGCCYCTCATTGCCCGCAGCCTGAATTGGGCAGCTCTCCATGAATAAGACAACACCAGGTTGTTCCCCCAGCCAGACCTGGAAATAGTCAGGGATTGCTGTGGCTGGCAGTGTGGATGGGGCTGGGCTCAGGGACTTGGAGCCGTCCCCAGCCTGGGCTCTGGGAGCACGAATGTGGGGAGCTGCCTTCACCCTTCCGGGTGCTCCAGAAGGATGCGACARTTCCTGAAACGGCTGCAGGAAACTAGAAAAATGCTGCAGAGCTGGAAAACGCTGCCCCGTGGTGTCCATGGGAGAAGGAGGCAATGGGTGCTTGTGACTGGCAAGACCAGATCCCAGCACGGGTTGGAGTCTGACTTTGGTGCCCCGTGTGGAAACAGGCCTGGTGCCCTCAGGTAGCGCTGACTGTTTAGTCCCTGATGGCTCCCCAGGCTTCAGAAATCCTCCTGACATTGCRATGAAACTAGCTTTTATTTTTTAACTTTCAGAAAGTTGGCTGCTGAGGAGGTGAGGTTAAATAGCAGCATATTTCTAGATTGTTGGAAACACATTATCTCCATTAAATCTTCATTAAACATAAAGCGAGCACGAGTCCCCCCCAGAGTTCGTTTAATAGGTGACCAGATACGCAGCTCTATCCATCGCTAACCACCGGCTGGTTGTGTTTTAGATACCTATATAATCCAACCCTGCTCTGACCCGGTTGCTGCCAACCTACAGGTATTTCATCCTCGAGCTTGAGATGTGCACAACTTCGGAAATATTTTTAGGAACCTTAATGGACAAAGTAATATCTTGCTTCTGTTTTTAGAAGTTRTTTTATTTGTATTTATATTTTTTCCTGTTGTCTGCATGAACAAAGAAATAGAAAGAGTTGTTGCCTTTTCACAAATTTGTGGAAAAAGAAGAAGAAAAACTGGAATCCAAAGAATACTTCAAGTTGAAAATCAATAAMTTCAAAATACCTTGTGTTCTTTACTAACATTGCTCGCATATGTTAAACACATGCTGTAGTCACCTTCACTATGCCACTGGTAAAAGCAACTTGTGTGATTTGAACAGGGAAAAGGAGAGCAAGAGAAGTAAACTTCCTTAAATTCATTCTTTCAGAAGCATTGGATAATCCCATTAAATATGCTTCTGAGTCAGGAGAGGTTACTAGCAATGCCCTGGTTAACTGTAACGTACCGTTCTCTTAATAAGTGGAAATATTCTATGGAATTTATTCCATAGCCTTCTTAGGCACCATATCCTGTCGCCTAACAACCCTTGTCCTATGAGAAATTCTTACATTTTTAAAAAAATATTTTATATTTTTATATTTTTGAATATATTTAAAATATTTTTATATATTTAAATATATTTAAATGTAAATACAGGACACATGTTTACATAAAATTCTTTGACATGTATAATATTCATCTATTTGTATATTTTAGTACCTTGCCTCTATAAATAGTTAGGTATTACTGTATCGTTAATATGACTGATGCTTTTTCCCCTTCCCGTAGTGACTGTCACACAAGTTCCAGGAGGATAATGGACCCTAAGGTGCGAGAGAGTGAAGGATTTGGAGAGGACAATTCAGGTAAAATTGCTGCTTTCCCCCGTGGATGAAGCGTTACGAATTTTGGAGCTTCAAAATCTTAGCTTTATCACAGAAGTGACTCTGCTGGTTTTAGAAAATATGTCCTCCCTTTCTATTTTTCTGTTGTCAAGGCTGTTCTGTCTTTCACATTGTCTAAGATTTTTGTAGTGTCTTGTAGCAAAGTTACCTTTTTTTAACAGAGCAGTATGACCCAGCACTGTCTGAAATGCTGGCAGGAGCATCTTGCAGTGCTGTCATGGGCCCTTATTTAGGCCATGTACAGGTCATGGGGATGTTTTCTCCAAAGTGCTGGTTTCATTTTCAATATTTTTCTTCTTGGGTTGTGGAACTGTTCCTAATTCAGATCCTCTCTCAGTCAGGAGACCTGTATTGCCTTTCAGGATTATTGCCTCATTCCCATTTTAATACTTGGTGATCCATTGAGTCTCATAATTACCATTCAAAATATTCTGGAACGTACAATAAAGCTGATCCTATAAAAGCAGTAGCCTCCYGACACTGCACATTCCACCTAAGTAAACCATTTCTACATTTAAATTGGTTTTGGTAACAACATTGTCCTTATCTTCACTATTTAGCTTGCTGAACAAAGGCAGTGCTTCCAAGTTGTAATTTCTTCTCTATATCCCAGGTAGTCAATGTTAAAGGTGGTTTTTTTTTAGTGATCTAATTATCTCAAGAGCCATGTGGAAACTCTAGTAGAAAATACCTGCAACATAGATTGCTTCTTATGTGTCATCAACATTGCAATCCGTTCTCCGAGGTAACAGTAATTTCATGGTAACTGCATAGACCTGAAAGATTTAATACAAGAGTGGAGCGCGTTGCCTCATCCAGGAAAAAAATCCACTTATGAATTTATTTAATTTTATTGTTGTTCCTAAAGCTTGCAAACGCTGCCAGGAGCATCATCTTTGTGTCTCGTTACTTAGGGAAGAAAAAATCGAAGTTCATATCTTTCAAGAAGTTCTTTGGTAAAAAGAAAAGGAAAGAGACGTTGTCACCTACCGGGAACAGCAGCCTGAAGCTCTTCCAGTCCACAGGAGACGTCGCAGCCTCACAAGGGACWCACGTTGGTTACGATTCTGAAGATGAACTCGAGTAAGTCTTTGGACTGGGGATACTAAACAGCTGAGGAACCGTGAGGGTGTTTATGGGTTAAGGAGACCCCCACATTTCCTCCTCTTTTTACTCCTGTTGCCACATTCCTGAACAGTTGTCTGCTTAAGGAAAGTACAAATTAAAATGGCTGATGCGAGACAAATTGCAAGCGTGGCGGATGGCTTGCAGTAGGAAATAATTATTTTAAAAGCTTTCATTTAAGCATAAATAAACCTTGCGTTATCATTTCAAGGGAATGTAATTCCCCTCTTCAAGTACGGACCAGATACCCAGTTTATGTCTTACCAGAGCAGTGTTGTGCCTCTGAAGTGCGTCTCCTAAAGGCAGTTCAAGAAATGTTGAGGTTTAATGTTTTACGGATGTTTTCAAAAGCAAGGAGGAGATAACGGAAAGAACCCCACTGAAATGAGCATGGACCAGAGCTTGTGTGAGCTTTAATTTCCCATATCTGGCCAAAGGGTAGATTCTGCATCCGAGTTAGTCACCCCAGCTGGCTTTTACAGCCAGCACAGGGAAATCCGCATTGCTAAGATGTGACTCACGGCATTCCTGTGTGGATATCCAAGGCAGGTCGCATGAACCCTGCTCTGAAAGTGCCCATTTCTCACCATGGACTGTAAAGAGGAGCCTGGGGTGATGGGGTCTGCTGTAGATACCTCTGTTGCAATGGCAAGTTACCTGAGGAGAACAGCAGCCTGGGTACCCGAGCACCTCTGCAAAATCCCAGGCACCCCCAAAAATCTTATCTGTTAGTTTTTTTTCCAAAATGGTAGCATAAGAAACGTGGTAAAAAGCTCAATTTTTTAATTGGATAGACAGATGGATAGAATAGTCCTGCAGCTGCCTAAAAAGAAAGTTCTTGCGTTACTGGGCGCTGGGTCTCTCAAGTACCAGCATCAGTTTTCTGAGGCACTAGCAGCCACTGGAGCGATGCTGTTTTGGGTAGGGACTGGGAAAGGAGCCATCCAGCCCATTACAAAAGACATTTTGCAGGAAGGCCACTAGGCAGCGCCAGACAACTGAAGGAAATCTATCAACAGACGCGTGTATGTGTGCGTGCGTGTGTGTGGTTAGTGTAAGGGCAACAGTAAGGTTAGTCCAGCTTCGTTGGCGCTGCAATCCTGGGGTTTCCAGGCTGGCAGCATCAGGGCTCGGGGCAGACTGCAGCGTTTTCCCTCAGCAGCAGCTTTGAGAGCTGCGTGGTGAGATCAGCTCTGCCCTCGCTGCTCCACAAGGTCGTGTGCGGCTGGGTGCAGCCCCTGCCTCTCCTGGCCCTGTTCCTGAGCCACATTGGCAGCGTTAGTACCTCATTGTTTCTGAGTAATTGTTTAAACAKACCAAGGCCAGGAAACACTTGGAAGGAAAGGAGAATGGCTTGGAGCACTGGTAACCCGGGGGGCCGTGGAGCGGAGCTCTGGGAGCTGCGTGGGGTGCAGGAGGAGAGCGGCAGCGGCGGTGCCTGCCGCAGTGCCCGRGCACGTGCGGCGGAGCTGAGCTGCCTGCCGTGTCTGCTGGGCAAACTGGCGCGTGGAGCAGCCCTGACTGGCGCTCAGCAAATTGCCATAGAGCCCCGTGACCTTGGCTGCGTGACAGAGATCGCATTCTCACTTAGATAAATTGTTCTTCTAATGTCTCTAATGCATCAAACCGCAGCACCAGGCTTTCCTTCCTTCTGCGGCAGGAATACACATCGACTTTTCCTCCTGTGCTTTTATTAAGCGTATTTATAGCAGCCATTATGAGGAAAATGTTACTCTCTACTGTGTTTGTTTATGTTTCTGAATAGTCCCTATGACAGCAGTTCCTCGGATCCAAAAATAGTTGCTCTTTTTTTTTTTTCTAAATAATCTCTTCAATTAGCTTGATAGTTGCTTGAATCGAGACAATTTGGTATTTAGATTTGCGATTTCATACCTGTCTTGTATGAAAAAATGTAGAAGAGGGGCATTGTGGAAGAAATGCCATGTGCCTATGTATCTGATCTCTGCTCAGTTAGGCGGTGAGCTAAGTGGAGCACCACGGATCTCCTAGCATCTAGGTGAGTGCCCCTGCATCTCCCCTGGAGTACCCAGGGGTTAATGCCCCACAGAGGAGCTTTCCGAAGGAGTTACATGGCGCATGTGTCAGAAGCAGGACAGAGACTGTGAAAGGAGCTGTCCACAAAGCAGTCCCCTACTTCCTTTCTCTAGACCACAAAGAATGTCCGTGGAAAACACATCTCCCACAAGCCCATTAGGGAAAAGCCCCACAGTCTTGATKCAGGAGAAGCTGGGAAGTATCATATAAATGATGCTGTCGGGTAGCTTCACCTTGCTGGGTTGTTTTTGTTAGTGACCTGTATGGCAGGGACATATCGAGCCCTGTGCCACCCTTGGACAGGAGGCAGTTTAACCTTCCTGGGGAACATTGGCTCATTTGCCAGACACGTTACCACTGCAGCAAGGAGCTGGCCCGCCTGGGCTGCAGGTGGTCAATGGGATCCRCACCCCTAGCCAAGGGGCAGCCCCATGGCATGGAGCAGAGCAGAGCGCAGCTGCTGGTGCCACACGGTCTCCAGGTGTCATGTAGACTGCTCGCCCCGCAGGTGCCATCGTGCAGCTCTTGGCTTAGTTTTTATGGCACTGCATAGCCTGGCCGGAACGCTGGTGGTGTGTGCAGCGAGGAGTTTGGAATCACACATGCCGTGTAGGGAGGTGCACATTTGTCCTCTACCCCATTTTCACAAGTTCATCCGAGTTAAGATGGCAAGAGGACTGACAAAACCTGCTCAGTTACTTTCGCTCTCTGTTGTGTTATTCTAGGACCCACAAAGGCATTATGGGGAGCAGAGCTTTGTCACACGACAGCATTTTCATCCCCGAGACAGGGCAGGAGCCCGCCAGGCCAGTGAGAGTCTTTTCTCAGGAGAACGTCTCTGATCGAATCAGAGCTTTACAGGTACTTGACACCACGTACATCTTTCCAACCCAAGAGATGGGGTGTCTTCCCAGGCTTGATTTTTTTTTTTCATAGCCTTTATAGTTGAACATTTGAATACTAAGTAATTATCATCTGCAGATTACATTGAATGTTGAATTTGTCAACTAAGCCATATTATATCTCAGTTCTGCTAAGACAGTAGTTATTAATRGATGGGTTGCTTGTCCACGTAAGAACATTTCTAAAGGGAGGTTGCCYGTGCTCGGCATCATCCAGTTGTAAAGTTAAAATGAAGGTAACTTACTGTCATAAACTAAAAAGCACAGTGGGGCAGCTCCATCACTTTCACACTAATGTATTTTATGCCACGTTGTAGCTGAAACTACAGCACAACATGAAATTGGGGCCTCCACCTCCATTTGGGCTTCATGGAAAGCGCTCAGAGGATGCTGGCACCAGCTCTGAAGACGACGGATTACCCAGGAGTCCCCCAGAAACATCTTTGCTCCATGAAATCCTGAATTCAGGCACAACAGGAGTGAGTAGTTCTGGTACTGATGTAAGTCAGCGTTTAATGGCTTATCTCAGCCTTGTATGGAAGGCAGAAAAAAATATATATTTGGGTCACTAGTCTTATTACTGCTTCACCTCRGAACCATTCAGATATACTTACTCAAAGTGGGAAAGTGATGTCTCTGTGCAAACAGCTACTAAAAATCTCTTCCTGTTGAAATACGAAGATCATGCCAGAATATGCAGAAATAGGAAAGAGAGGGTGTGTTTTTGTGGCGAGATTTGGGGGTATGTGGGTGTTCAGGGACTACAGAGAGCTGCTAGGCATAAAAAAAGGCTAAAAAATCTGTAGTCTCTCTCAAACATGCTGATTAGCGTCTCTTCCTTRGTATTTTTCTCTGCTGGTATGGTAGAAAGAAATATATAAGAATCTGAAGYTTTTTCTTTTAAATGATAGTTTTGTTACAGGTTATTTCTGATTTTATCTGCATGCCTTTGTACTTAGTTTGCAATGTCCTTGCTAATCCTTAAGACTRTAGAGAAAAACAATTTGTCGGTGTTGTGTGCAGTTTGTGTAGATGGTTTCTGCTGGTACATCTGTCTCATTTGTCATCTTTACTGAATCTCTTCCTCATTCCACCCCACAGTTCTCTGACTCTCACAAGCACCTTAGCTCTTTGAGTTTAGCTGGAACAGGCAGTGAAGAAGAAGAACAGGTAACTTCTGCCAAATGTATTAAGGGCCAAGCAATTATGTATATTAATCTTTTAAAGCAATGTAAGGTATAAATATTACTTTATTGTCTGTCAGCCGCAAAAATAACTTTCTGTGTTTGTAAATGCATGCCCATATGCTTTGCTGTTTCAATGGCTATCTTTCTAACATTCAAAAGATGTGATTGTTTATCAATATAGTTCTCCAGCACCAAATAATCTCCTGCTAATAGTAACTGAAACTTCTAGCATATTTCATGTCCTTCAGAAATTTGACGGATGTTATTTGATCCTCAAAACCAACCAGATTTGGACACAAAGAGGAGGGGTATCTCTTGTTTCAAATGAGAAACTGCAGTAAAGGGTGGTTAAGTTATGCACACGGRGTGTGGGACCAGGTTTGCTAAGCAGGCTTGAACAAAATGTAGATCTTTCAGTATCCTCCCAGACCCTTAATTTAAATACAATATTACCTGATACACTGATACAGAAACAGTTTTCCTGATGACAGAGATTGATATTGCAGCCCAGGATACTGGGATTCAGTCTTTAGTCAGATATAACTGACTATAGTCAGTTTAATTCAGTCAGATTTGGGCCACATGGGCCAGCGTGAGCTGTGAATTCTGCTTCAGTGATGTTTTCAGGACTCAACAACCAGCAAATAGATGATTTTCTTCAGTCAGCACTCACACGTTGTGGCTGATTAAAGAGTGGTTTTGAAGGGCTCTGAAGAGTCCCTTTCAGTTGTCTGCAGCTGGAGTCATAGTGGAAACAACACAGGGGTATAATGGAAAACATTTTCTGGAAATAGGAGAAGGGATAGAGGAAAATTGCAGAAGGGAAATAAAGAAGCTGGTCCCAAGCTGACCATTTCTTGGTAATTATGTAGAAGGCATTTTAACAGCAGCTGCAGCAGGGCTCAGCAAACATTTCTGGCCCTGCTTGATAGACTTATTTGAAGGTATTTGAAAAACTGCTTTATACAGTGAAGTCTTTATATATCTTAAAGAAAAAAATGGAACATATGAAGAAAGCATTTCTKGAAAATCAGCATAGGCTTACAGTAAAAATATTTGTCCAGTCCAGATGTATATTCACTGAAAGAGCGTTTATGCCTCCCCATAGCTCCATTAGCTTCTCTCTCCCGCTGCGGAGGCGCTGTGTGACTTTGGTCGGGCAGCTTTTCCATGTCCCCCCACGAGTTAGCTCCGAGCATCCCGGTCCCATGTAAGCAATCCAGACAGCAGCACGACAGGAACACATTCCTGCCGGAATGCGGAGCCCAGCTGGCGCTTTGGAGGGAACAGACCTGCTGCTAGTCAGGAGGAGACGCGATGGCCGGTCGGTAGGTGCCTCAAGGGCAATACACTCATCACAGATCCGAGGTTTTGGCTGGCAACAAGACCTTGCAGTGTCTTGGAAGCTTTTTTAACTGGAAGAGAGAAAGGAGCCTTTATGAGCATCCCATCCCCGCTCTGGAAATGGGGCTTCCTCTTGGCCCCACACGTGATGATCCCCCGTGCAAGCAACTGAAGCAGAGGGGAGCCATGTGAGCATGGGGTTTGGGCCAAGGGCTCTGCTGGCCCTGCCTCCTCCCCCAGGCTTAGCCAGAGCTGGATTTTACCATCCAGGCAGTCTCTGCAGCCAGCACAGACCTGGCAGTCTCTCGACCAGCTGAAATTTAACTGGAGTAGCCAACCAGATTCCTGCTTTTCCAGCGTAATGACCAATGCTGAACAATGACAGTGAGAAGGGCAAGTTCTTAAGGCAAAAAAGAAGCAAGGAAAACCAGGAAAAGAAAGGAGAGGAGAGGCAAATAATAATAGGCCTTGAAAGAGAACATGGCTTGTATCTTTATCAGGGAGCTGAAATGTCAATGTATTCACTGCTAGGCACTAATGTATAATGCAGCCCTGTATCGTTGTTGTACATTAGTCATGTTTGAGTACCACCTTGCAGACAGTGCAGAGAAACCCTACTACAAATTAGCAAGAGCATCAAGTTCAGCATGCCYGAGTGAGGTGCTTTTTGTTGCTCTTGTACCTTTTCCTTAACAGAAAGCGTGATCAGAAGCTGTGGATCCAGCCTCCACTAAAATCAGTGGGACTTCTTCCCCAAATGTAGAGGAAGGGRTAGCAGACCCTAGCTGTATCCCACACTATCTTGGCCCTAGCTGTATTCCAGACTATCTTCTGACTGCAATGCATATGCAGAACTCTGCATGCACAAAATGCTGACGCTTTTTTTCTGCCAAAATAAAATAAACACTCTATAGCTCTTCCCTTCCCCTAGCCATTCCCCTCAATAAAAATATGACTTCCAAAAGTCTTCTGTCCAGCTGGATGGGGCATGACAAAGAAGGAAAACTTCCGTAAYGAAAAGCACTGGATTTTCAAGCTTTCAGAGGACTGTTATCAAGAGTTGGCAGAGGTCATTTTAATWTTGTGACAGATATCTCGAAATACCATTTTACCTTCTTACACAAACTGAATCAAAGAGAAAAGAAAGCTTATTTTTAAAGAGTCATTTGCACAAAGTTCTGTCTTTTTGCATCAGCCCCAGACTTGGGTGGCTTTTGTTGAGGTACTCAGGAGAGATGAATTTCAGAATTTCAGCTTCACAAAAGTACCACATCCTTTGGGGGCATCCAGAAGGTAGTTCTGGATGGGTTACTGGTCAGGTTGGAAGTTCCAGGCCACTAGTAGGGATTGCCCACCATTTYCTTCCCTAAAATAGTCTGTGCATCAAATATGCTTCAGGGTAAGCTCCCTCCTTATTTTGCAAATACAAATAAATAAAGAGAAAAAGAAGGTAACTGAACTGTTAATGCCATTGATGTTTGATTCTTTTTTTCCTAAAGAGGATATGGTAGAGYTGGAAGGGAACTGATGAAATGTAGGAAGTTAGAGATGCTCTGGACCAGTGCAACTGTGGATAGGAGTCCAGACAGATGCTATAGGAGAGACCCAGGACGGAAATGTACCCGTTAGGATGGGCACTTGAGTGCTCTTCATAACTGCATTTCCTAAACCCATGCTGATCGTATAGTTTTGTGCGTTAAATCTTTTAGTTAAATGTGACTTGTTCTCTCCCGCTGGGCTATACAGCGGGATATTCTCGCTGCTAAAAATGCAGAATTGCCAACACTAGTGTTCCATAGGCAATATCAGGAAATGCACTGTATTTTAAAAAGAAGTCAGGAAGAAACCAAGGCAAGTACAAAATGCCACAAAATAAACCAACCCAAAACCCACAAAATAAGCAGGCCTCCTTCCCTGTAGGTTTGTTATTTTCATGGATTGGTTTATGTGTCGGATTCTGCATTTGGGGAATCTCTATTTCTGTTTTAGGTCACGCTGGGTCCGTCTAGACCGCAATCTGCGGCCGGGCAGCGGATCCCTAGGCATGGAAGTGCTAAAACTGGAGGTCCAAGGTTCTCTGACAGCAGCATCTCGCCCACTGCTGATTTTGATGCTCCACCTGAGCTCTCCTCTTGCTTGGATAATTCTGCTGCTAAACATAAACTTTTAATAAAACCCCGGAAACAGAGATCCAGTAAAATGAGAAGATTTCCTCAGGTAATTATGAAAAAAAAATTAAAGGCACACAAAAAAAAGTCATATCTGAAAAAAAATCTGGAATTTCTGACTGGATTTCATATCCAAATTCAGACTGGTTAAAAAAAGTCAGATGGGTGCATTGATATTTAGTGGGATTTTAATAGCTTTATTTAATATGTTTCTGGAGTAGTCAGTAAGCACAGAATAAATGTTATGTGATTACTGGTTACTTCTCTTGGTACAGCAGTTTATGTGAAGATTTCTTCCTAACATTACTGTGCAGTACAATGTACTGTTTTGGCCATGATGCAGAAGTTGAGGCTGACTGCTTTTTCTTTAAAAATTTTACCTTTTCAAAAAATGATAATCAACTTGTGCACTTTCCTATACTGAAAGATCCTGTAAAATCTTGACTCTTTGAGAGACGTCGTATTTGGTTTTAGTTTTGTTTGTTTTTTTTGTTTAGCTTATCAAACAGCATTGGGATTATAGTTTCAGAAATTACAGAGGTAAGTTATGACCTGCTACTTGGAACCAAATAGTGGTCATTAGGACTTCTGCATTCAGCTTTCTTTCCAAGCTTGGCCCTTTATGTGCTCTACAGAAATTTAAAAACGTGTCTTCACAGAGAAAAAATGTGTATAACTGAAACTGTTGGGTTTCAAACCATCATTCAAAACACTTTTTATCTGGGTCTTTTTTTTGCATCTTTTGACAGAGATTATTTAATGAGTCACCTTTTCTCCCATTTTCAACCTGAAGTTTACAATTCTTACTACAGCATTTCCACTTTATTATCTGGGGTTTCCATCAGTGTTTTAAACACACCAAAGCCATTAAATGGGCTTGCTTAACATTAAGAACCTCATTCCTTTGTCTGTTTTAAGATGCCAGATGATTGAGCCCACATGGTTTCCCATAGAGAATGTTTATACCTATTGCTAAGAAATTACAGTTTTTAAGCGTTTGCCTGCCCACTTTTACCTGTGCATTTTGCTCCTGGTTGCTAACTAACACCTCCTGCTTTTGTATTCCTGGATCCTCACTGGATATGGGCTGCAAACACAAGTAACATTCCAGGGTTGTCTTTGCAATTGTCTTTGCAAATCTGGACATTATGTGAGTCCTAAAAGTGTTTTCAGAGTGCGAGTCTTGTGGTCTTAGAATTAGGGCCCACACCCAAAGCACATATTTACCCACCAAACTACAGTGACTCAGTAAGCTCATAATACAGGCACCATATGAAAATGCATATTCAACAGCTTTATAACATGCCTGGGAATAATCCTGTACATTTAGCCAGTGCTAAGTACATATTTRTAGAGGCTTACCTGAAGCTCAGTCCCAAAGAATTCGCAGATGACTGTACTGTGTTTTAAACTTTCATCAGATAGTCTAACTTTTGAAAGAAAAAAAGAAAGACTTCGCATAAGGGAGACATTATTTGAATGCTGTGTCAGTGGGATTAGACAATTGCCATATGGGGATAGATCCTCAGCTGGCATAGTGTGTCATAACCTCAAGGACTTATTCAGCAGGGTTTCTTTGCTCTCTTTCTGTGTACACTTGCCTTTTCAAGGCTATATCTGGGAAAGAATGGGTAGTTTTATTTTTAATCCTGTTATGGAGTAGCAAAATACAAAGGGGTGGATTTTTCTCTTTCAAGTGGTGCTTTTTGCCCAAGAGCAACACAGCATATCCAGCATGTTGTGGGGCATCAAGTGCCAAGGACAGTCCAGTGGCCACTGTTTTGATGAACTTCCTATCTATGGAGGCATGAAAGCACCACTCATGCAGAATGAAGTGTCATTGATTGCTTTTRTATTGGTTAAATGTATTATCCCATGATCTGCCCAGCCAAGTAAGCATCCAGGATGCAGGTCATGAAAACAGCGTGSTTCTCACTGAAGGCAAGTGTTGCCTTTCTGAGATCTCAGCCTGTAAATTCAACAATAAAAGGGAAGGAAGGAGTGAATCTGCACGTGCTGATGGGCTTTTCTGCATGTCTTTGTTCCAGAGGACCCGGTCTGAATCTCTGACTGATTTGAGCTGTACCCCAGAGGAAGAGGAGGAGGATGACAGAGAGGYGCAGACAGAGCCTCCAGATGCTCTGCTGAAAAGGAGGCAGCAAGAGCTGCCGTGCGGCACAGCTGCAGCGCAGGATGCGGCTCCCTGGCACCAGCCCAGGATGCCCCAGGACCTTCCCGCTGCTTTGAGCGCAGCAGTGACTCACCCCGCGCCCGAGGCTGCCGTGGTGCAGGAAGCCCTGCTGCCAGAGAATGAACCCGAGGGCTGCCAACCAACACAGGAAACTGTCTGCACGAAGCCTGATTCCCCATTGCTGCTGGGAGGGGAAGGCCAGGCAACTTCTCCCTGCTCCGGTCTAGACGGAGAAATACAAGAGCGGAAAGATCCCGCGGAAACACTGGCTGTGTTGTCTGCGGATAAGTGTGATGTGTCAGTTGATACTTTAGATCAAGAGCATAAGGAGCTCTCTACTGTACCTGCAGTATGCAAAGCAGCATCTGAAGAGGATATTTCACTTAATAAACATAATCTTGTTTGTTTGGACAGTTCAGAAGAAAGTAAACAGGAAGATCAGACACATGTGGAAGTGCCCTGTAATAATGTGGAAGCATCCTGTAATAAAGAAGCAAAGAAAGAGGTTGCTGTGTTGTCAGAACCTACCCGGCAGTTTCCCATAGGTTCTTCCCGGCACATGGACTCATTTGCTGTCCCTTCCCACGTTCCACATCCTACTTCTTCAATGGAGGTGGGATCATCTGCTTCCTGGGATCTAGAGAAAACAAAGAATACACAAGAGGCAGTGCCTTCTGATAAGAACTGTCAGTTATTGGTCCACAAGGAGGAAGTTTTGGGGAAGAAGGCAGAAAAAGCAGTCCATGAACTCAATGCATTGAGAAGGTTTTCTGTGTCCTCTGCACGAGAAAGGCCAGGGACCAGAAGCCTGCACTTCCCAGAAAGCTCAGCAGGTGAAAATCCATTGAACACCAGATTCTTCCTGTCCAAAGCAAAAACATCCCTGAGAAATGAGATGTGGAAAGCAGATTTGCAGGTGGTGTCAGATGCGGAGGAGAGGAAAAGCGGCAACAAAGATCAGCCTTTGGTGCCGGAGGGCAGCGGTGAGAGCACAGGCCCATGTGYGGAAACGCTGGCTGGCTCTGTCTCCCAGGCTCTTGGTGCAGGCCCAGKCTCCAGTGATTCCTCTGTGGTATCGCAGAGTCAGCCCAACTGCGAAGATAAAAGTCCTTTTCAAGTAAAACTTAGATCCACCTCACTCTCCTTGAAATTTGGAGACAGCTCTTCACACGAATCAAAAGGGATTAAAATATACAGTGAAGAGATTAATTTGGAAAATGAAGCATTGACTTTGTTTCCCAAAGGTGAAAGGGCACAGATCAAAAAGACGGATGATGCAAATATTGGTGGTTCTTTGAATGATAACATCAAATCCAAAGCAAAGTCCTCGGATCAGATGAGCGGCAAACCTCCACTGCCCAAGAAGCCTGTCCTGCARAACGTAACTGTTCCAAATACCAGTGCAAGCAGGGAGAGACAGGACAAAGTCACTCAGTCTCCTGAATCCAGAAATGAAGACAGAGACTTGGAGAAAAAGTCAAGTCCTGGTAAAGTGCCTGGTAAGACTCTGGTGCCTTATAAAGCCCCCGTAACTCTTGAGGAACRGCCCTGCGTGCGAGGCGCCCGTTGTGTGCAGCACAAGGGTGGGGAGTGGGAGCTGGCGGCTCTGCCTCCCGTGAGGCTGCTGCCTGACTCCTCCATGCTGAGAAGACCTATCAAAACAGCAGCAGGAGAGAAGCAGCAGAGAGAATAAGATATTTTAATGGGGACTTTTGTGTTTCAGAGCCTTGTTCAAAGAGCCAGGAGCACCCAGTAAGAGTAGAGCTCTGTGTGGGTGGGTGGCTCGGACCTCTAGACCTTCTTCACCATGGTTGTGAGGGAGAAGCACTACTAATTGCCCAGCAGGCGCAACACACTCCTTGTTCATTGATTCCTATGAGCTTTGCTTACTTGCTTGTCTGTCTTTATCATTACTTACTCCCTGTTCAAAAACAGAAGTTGGCTACCCTGTGGCTTCATGGCATTTAAAGCCAGAAGAGCCCATAAGAGACCCTCTAGTCTAYATGATAAGCCAAAATGTAATTGGGTTAGAGTGAAAAATCCAGTCTTCTTGAGACTTCTGGAGACAAAATTAGTGTCCCACAGGCAGGGACCAGAGAAGACCCAAAGTGGCAGCAGTGTCCGACRTATTTGCAAGGTCAGGAAGCGAGTTAGGTAGGATACAAACAGTTCTAACAGGAGAGCTCTGCTCTTCCCTTCAGAGAAAGGCCAGAGGGCAAGGAAGCTCTTTGGGTCTTCCGACACGTGGGGGATGTTTCTCCCTGCCCTGAGCCCGCGTGGTCACGGGGCTGGCGCTGAGCGCGTGAGTCGGAGCTGGCAGAGAGCTCTGAGAGCGGCACAGCCGCGCGGCGCCCGCTGCCTCCCAGCRCCTGGAGCTCGGGCTCCGAGCTCAGCGGGACGAGCGCTGCAGGGAAGGGCCTCGGGATGCAGCAAGGCCGCTGTCCTGCGCCGTGGCGGAAGCCTCTTCCTGGCCCCGCAGGCAGCGTCTGGAGGCCCCCAGTGAAACTGGTTGTAGCCTTGTAGCTGTCTTTGCAGGGCTCCCATTTACAAATTCCTGTTCTCCCGGCAGCCAGAGGAGGAGGTTCCTTGGCTGTCTGATGGGACTTCATGGCCACCCAGGCAGCCTCCCCACAGCAAAGGAAGTCTCCCTTTGTATGATCCCTATACTGCCCTAAACACGTTTTCCGCACTGCCCTGCCCTGAGAGCAGTTGGTTATTTAAAACGATCCTCAAATCTTCTGTAATCAATGAAGATGGGCTGTGGTCAGGGTTCTTTCCTGCTCTTTTTAGGAGGGACACATTGGGAACAGAGGAGGAGGAGGAAGCCAACGCTGTAGGGTCGGGCATGCTGGAGGATGGAGGGYTGGGAACAGGCGGCACGGAGGCTCTGGAGTTACAAGCATTCCTGTGTCCTCTGATGTCCTGTTTGTCCTGCYGAGTGCCATGTGCCTGGAGCGAGTCCTGGTGCAGGAGGAGCAGAGGAGATCGCAGGCGCTGGATGCCCCCGTGCTGGATGCACAGGGATGCCCCGTGCAAAGTGGTGCCTGGCAGCAAGAGCTGGTCCCTGTGCTTGGCAGGGTGCACGGCCTGGAGCACAACGTGGGGCTGCTTGGTGAGAGCCCTGCTCTAAATGTGCTTCTCTCCATCTAACATAATTAAAGGGAATTGGTATGTGTATGGCCCAGGATTGCAGTTCAGACTGCTGTGTAATGCTAGTTCTTCCTTATTTACTGCCCCACTGCTGTTACTCTAACACCTGAGGCAAAGTTGCTAGTTTTCTACATATTTCTAGCTTGGAATAGCTTTGTAATGGATTCTGATATTGTGGAGTGGCCAGACTGAAAACGTTTGGTTTGCAGTATGAAGCAGAGTGCGCGGGGTTGACGCAAGTCCCTCTTTACCTCCCTGCAGACCCTTCTCCACTGCCGTTCGATCAAACACCTCCTTGTCCTAAGTTACTGCATGAGCCTGAGCTGGCTGCCCTCCAGTCGCAGGGGAGCGAGCGGTGCCCACGTCTCGTGTTTCCCCGGCACAGCCCTAACTTTGGCGGGGGTTTTATCCAGCTCCACCCAAGGCGCATCACCCTGGTCCTTGGGGAAGCTCTGCAGCAGCAGCAGCAGCAGCAGCAGCAGCAGCAGGGCACTGCCCCGGGGCATGAGGGTGCTGCGCTGTGCAGCGAGGGAAGCCGTCTGCAGCCCTGCAGAAGTGTCACGCTGAGCTCCGTGGAGCATTTGCCTGAGCCTCGTGGCCCTGGAGCGCGTCTTGCAGCCGCAAGCAGCGGCAATCAGAACAGCCTGACCAGCCTAGGGCTTCCGCGGGGCATGGGGCTTAAGGACAGTCTCCGGCCTTGGGGTTTTGGGAAAGTCCTTCTCTTGTTTTGCYGGCCGCTCTTCCAGCTGGCAGCCTGCCCTGTCCTCCCCTCCGAGCTTGGGAGCCCTGCCGGGAGCCCTGCTCCCTGCGGGAGCCACTCGGATCCCCTGCCGCTGTGGTGGGCGCGCGGGAACAGCTCGGCTCCTCTGCTGCCAGCTTCATTGGCAAGGATGGCGAAGGAACTGGAGTGTCTCTCCTATGAGGAAAGACTAAGGGAGCCGGGCCTGCTTAGCCTGGAGAAGAGAAGGTTGAGAGGGGATCTGATCAACGTGTGTAAATAGCTGAAGAGCTCATGTAGGGAGGAAGGGGCCAAGCTCTTCTCAGTGGTGGCCAGTGACTGGACAAGGGGCARTGGGTACAAGTTGAAGCACAGGCAGTTCCATCTGCATGTGAGGAAGAGCTTCTTTCCCATGCGGGTGCCAGAGCCCTGGCACAGGCTGCCCAGGGAGGCTRTGGAGTCTYCTTCTCTGGGGATCTTCCAAACCCGCCTGGATGTCGCCCTGTGCCCCGTGCTCTGGGTGTCCCTGTTGGAGCAGGGGGTTGGACTGGATGATCTCCAGAGGTCCCTTCCAACCTCAACCAACCTGTGTGATTCTTTAGCTTGCGGCGAGTCTGGAGAACTAACAGCAAAGGCTGCTGGCGCAACCCAGGCGTGCGGGTGTCCGCAGCCCCTCTCCGCAGCGCGTCCTGCAGGGCTGCCCAGGCTGTGCCGGCTGCCCGAGGCACAAACCTTTGCCAGAATTAAAAGCAGAAAGAGCATCCAGTGTTCCATGAGGCTCATGCTTTGCTCTGTGTGTCCCCGCAGGAGCAGAACCCAGGAGCACAAACTAACGGGTTGTTCCAAGAGCAGGGCTGTGGGCAGCACCAGTGTGAACGCGCGTGTTGGGACCTCATAAGCTCCGTGACTGGGGAGCTCTAGCAGGGGGACCCTCTTCTAGAGGGAAGGAGCTCGGGGAGAGGTGGTGAATGCCAATGGTGAGCGGGGCTGGTGGGTGTTGTCCAGCAAATCCAGTCTTTGAAACGACAAGAAAAATGTTTCTCTCTACATAAAGGACATTGCTTCAATGCTGTCCTGTGGATAGCTCAAAAGGAGGCTCCCTCTTTTTCAGAAGCTGTTGGGTTTTTAGGCTGTGTCCGGCTCTTTTGCGACCTGGCTCTTTCCCAGCAGTAACATTGCGATTTCGTGTGTTAAAAGGCTCCTCGCAGCAGTGTTGTACATCCAGCCAAAAGTCACATCCCTTCTAGGTCAGCCTAGGGGAGAAAGAAACATCAGAGGTAGTTTGCCAAGKTTTTTTTAGGATTGCTCTGTCCAAAACTAGGGCTCTGGATGCCTATGCTAAGACAAATGCATGTAGTGATTTAATAAACAGAGGCAAATATGTAGGCCGGGGTACCCTAAATGCCAATATGCATTTTTAAAGCCTTGCTTAACATAACCGGTGTTTTACTAGTGAGCAAGGATGGAACAATGTGGACTGAAATATGCACGAAAAACGAGTGTTACAACATGATGACACTGCTGTATGTAGGGAGTTTTATCTCCCAGTGTCAACTTGTTTGCATTAGTTCTGAGGATGTTTGCTTTTAAAATATGCAGGGAACCCAGAAGTGAGCTTTGCTGGCTAGTGAAGCCACGACTTTCCAAGGGCTCTAATATTCTGCTCCTGACCATTCCCTGCACAGATGTACAGGAAGAGTAACCACTCTTTGCAGCCCTTGTAGGTGTTAAGATGTTCATTTTCAGACACCAGAAGATGTAAATATTATAAAACATCTGTGCTATATTTTGTACACACAAAGACTCTCTCGTTTAAAGGAAATAGGTATGGTATCTGAGACTATCTCTAAAAAAACATCCCTAAAGCTCAGGGTGCTGTTTGAGATGCCCTGGCCATGGCTGTCTATGTATGCTACACATGGAGACAGGCATACACATACACCCCTACTCACCCTCCTACCCACACTGGAATATACTGGTGTATCTGTCAGTAGACAGTTACATATGGATTACTCTTTGTGTGTATGTATGTATAAACCAATATACAATAATAAGTTAACCTTATGCTCCTTTTGTACATAAAAATCAATGTTGTAGCTTATTGTCCGTGCAACTAGTCAGAAACACGTTAAAATGTAATATCCCAACATCATCCTTGCCTGCTCGTTTCCATGGCCTGTGGGCAGGAAAAAGTCCACCTGAAAAATCAGGTCTCCAGTGTTTAAGAAAAAACAAATTCAGCTTTAATAAGATTTTGAAGGAAACAGATACGTGCAGTTAGTAGGACTGCTGTGAGATGATTTTCCCTGTAAAGCTCAACAGGTTCCTGGCCAGCCAGCCCAGCTCCTGTCGGACCCAGCAGGGAAGGGCTCTTGTCCTTCCTTTCCGAGGGTGGCCATCAGGAAGGTGGATGCAGCTCTCGTGGCTTGCGGGGCTGCCTGTGGGGCTGGCCTGGGGCTGCGGGAAGCGAGCAGGGACCGGCTTGGAGGAGCTGGGAGAGCCTGGAGGCTCTGGCGCTGGCACCAGCCACTCGCCGTGCGCTCAGGGACTCACAGGTGAGGGAGCTTAAAGGAAGGGCTTCGGGAGCCTCCGCGGGTGCTTTCAAGCTGCAGCAGCAGACCTCAAACAGGCTGGAAATGTTATTGTTAATAAGTGGTGACATTATGTGTGGAGCAGTTTGGCAAGTTCTGACCYGGTATTTTCCTGTTTTTTGGTGATTTATCGCTGTGCTTCGTTCCGAGGGGAAGGATCTTCTCTCAAAACACCTCAGGCCAAAAAAGTTTYGAGGATATGAAGGGTGCAATCAAGAGATTAAAAGTATGAGTSAATGAGAAATGACCTGCCAACAAGAATCATTATTATTTTAAGTAGCTATAACGAGCTGAGTAACGTATTGTTTAAAATGTTGCAATAAGAGCTCAAGCGCATGGCTCAGAATTGAGCTTCAACCAGGAAAGTCTCAAGACTGTAAAAAGCAGGAAAGGGAACTGAAACGCGGAGCACGAGCAGCGCTCCCGGCCCGGCGCCTCAGGCCGCCTCCGACCGAGCCCGCCCGGCCTGGCCTTTGGCGCCCTGTGCGCTYCCACACGGAGAGCTGTGCTCCATGTCCGTGTCCACCTGATGGGGCCAGGGGCTGCCGGCTCCGCGGGCGCAGGCGTTGGGCTCTCCCGCGGGACACCTCGACCTCCCTCCCAGCTGGGCCGTCCCTCCCCTGGCGCCGGCCTTTGCCACGCGGCGACTCGCGGGAGCCCCGAGCGCCTTGTGACAGCTGAGGTAGGATGGGAAGGATCCTTCAGGGTGATCCTTCTTGCTCACCGAGCAAGAGGGGCGAGCAGGCCYGGCCTGGGCAAGACTTCTGGCTGCCTAAGGCCCTCAGGACTCCAAAGTCCACAGGAGCGTTGGATCGTCCCSAGCCGCTGGTCCGTTTCGCCTTCCCAGCGCCTGCGTTACCTTCTGTACTGCAGCAGTCGCTCACGTCTGCTCCCAAACCCCCTTCTCCAGCTGGGAATGCACCCCCTGCTCCTCTCACACTGCCTCTGACTGACCGCCAAGGTGGTACTGACCACCGAGGTGGTACTGACCACCGAGCTGGTTCGTGCTGCAAGGTGCTGGTGGCTTTGTGCTGGAGAAAGCACCTTGCTTCTCTCTGGCTGGCCTGACTTGCTCCCTCTGGCAAAGACTTTCTGCGGAGCAAGTGCAGAACACAGTGACACAGAGGAAGAGTCGTAGGGTGACAGGGGGGACAGAGCAGCTCGGGCTCCTCGGTGGGTGTTAGCGCTCTGCTGGCCTGCGTGGCGCCTGTGGGGATGTAAACAGACTCCCTCAGGATGATTATGAAGAGGTTTTTGCTACGGTTGCAGGCACATTCTGAAGCCATCTCTTAGGGGATCATACAGGGCTCTAAATTAGCTACCTTTAAATGTGTGTGGCTAGGAGGTCTGGTTCCTCCTGGGGGAGAACCATGGGAAGAACCAAACTGCCCGGTGTCTCCCTTTCCAGTTAGTGCCTTATGAAAAGTGTTGCTGTAAAGTGGCCTCCAGCCACAGCACAGTGAGACCGGGAGCCCTGTTGTGCCAGGAAATACACATCCAAACAGCAGAAAGGTGAATCCTGAATCCATGAGGAGAACCGATCAGTAAGAGCACAGGCCAGCAATAGGCCCGAGCAGGGCGGTCGCTTTGTGGGGATTGCCTGGTGGGAGCTGAGCAGGAACGAGGGGAGGTTCAGCCGACGCGTGTGAAGAGCTCCCGGGGCAGTGACAGGGAAAACGGGAGGAAACAGAAAGGGTGGTTGGGAATCACCAAGACGAGAAAGCAGCATCGCTGGAGGGTCAAGGCACCAGGCAGGTTCCCGATAGTGGGGGGACTGGAGAGGGCAGCGAGGCTGGCTGGAGAGCGGGAGGGTATCGGAGGCAGGCGGGAAGGCCCCGCCGTGGTGAGGGGCACGGGGAGGGCTCCGTGCGGCCCCCCCTTGGCTTCGGCCCCGAGCACCGTGCGTGAGGGGCTGGATGGGGCAGCGCGTGCCCGCGGCGGCCGCAGACGGCAGCGGGCAGCACGCGGGCACCCCAGAGCACCCCGGCAGGGATCAGTTACCTGGAGAAACGGGAAATGCAGTCAGAAAAAAAGGACGTTTTCATTACAAATATCAAGTACTGGTATACRTGGAAAAAAGGATCGGATTCCCAGATGGAAATGGGGACTAGGAGAGGAGAAAGGCGAGAGCTGAAGCTCATAAAAAAATATGRAACAACAATCACATAGTCCCAAAAAAATAAAAAGAAGTCATCACGCCGAGTGATGTGTCGAGGATACCCCCACCAGGACACGCGGGGTCATCCRGCCTCTTCACCTGGTGCTGGCAGCGTTTCCTCTCGAATAACAAACACCTCCCAGCCTTGAGCACCAGGCTGTGCAGAAGATCTGGGCCAAAATGAGGAGCAAAAGCGAGTTAGAGAGTGCAGCTAATCAGAAAAGGTTAAAGAAAGGGGAAGGACATGGGGTAAGTCTGCCAAGCTAGTAGCATTAAAGGGTACTGARAAGAAAACAGAGCCACGTGGGCAATTTGTTCATGTCCATAATGGACATATTGGAGGAGTTATGGGTTTAAACTGAAGCTAAGAAAATTTAGCTTAGCCGGGGGAAGAAGATTAGTAGGAAAGCACAGCCAGRTCCTAGGATGGATAGTCTGGGGAGACCAAAATCTCCGTCTCGTCTTCCGAGGCTTTTGAGAGCCGATGAGAGCCCYGTTTGTCCGGGAACAGTTTACGAGAGAGTGTCTTGCAGCTGCTATTGCTGTGGAGATGAAGGATGGCCTGGGGACATCTYGACATCTTTCCCAGCCTTATTCTCTGCCATCCTGTAAAATGAGACAAAAATGAAGCCAAACGGTCTATGGGAGAGGAGGAGAAGGTTATGAGAGACTTCCTGGCTTGTTCCTCTCAGATGAACCTACAGGATCCCATGAGGACAGCGCAGGAGCTGGCAAAGCCGCTTGCTCTGCCCCCTTGCCCTTCTTGCCTCCTGCCTGCGTCTTGCTCTCCTCTCGTGGCCAACATGTGCGGGTTGTTGTTGTTGTTCTGATTTAGTCATTAGGAAGTTTCCATGCTCAGATAAGCAGGCTGTTTGTGGTGAGGCGCAYGGGAGGACACGGAGCAGAGCAAGCCCTCCAGAAGTGCCTGTCACCACAGGGGATACTGTGCTGGGTGGCAGAGCAGAAATGGGCTCTTCCCATGCCAGGGGTCCTGACGGGAATGAGCCCCTCCTGGCTGAGCCCCGCTCATTGCCGCTCCTTGCACAGGCTGCTGACTACGCAGCGACACTTGCCCAGGCAGACCTGGGTGCTAAACTCCTGCTCCGCAAGAGCCTCCCGTTGTCTTGGGGACACAGGTGACCAGCACTGGTCACCTTCTCCGAGGACCCCGGCGTCGCTCCCACCACATGGCTTGTGCTGCYCTCCTTCCTCTTTGGAGCCCTGCAGGCTCCAGCCTAGTTGGCAGACTGCACTTTGGGTGCAGTGGGAGCCAACCAAGAAGGAACGTGGGGCTGGATCCAGTGGGGAGCTGAGGCTGTTCCCTTGGTGCAGCCGGTGATTTCCGTGGTGTTGGTGTGTCCAGAYGACACAGGCGGTTTGTGCCTCCTCCCGTGGGCTGCTTGTCCCGCCAGGCCCCTTGTGCCCGGCTTTGGAGCAGCCCTTGCTCGTGTCTAAGGAAAAGAGGGTGAAGCAGATGGAGGGAGGGCAGAAGAGGAGCCTGTGGCAAAGCAGTAGTTTAGTGAAGCTTGGCGGGYGCTTTTGCACCTCCCTCATGTGGGTCTAGCTGAAAAAAAAAAAAACAACCAGATGTTATTGACCACTAAAACAGTAACTTAAGGACTTAAGGTAGTGGAAACAGGAAGCTTGCTTCCTGGAGTCCAAACAAAATTTCCTATTTATCCTGCCTCATCACCTTCCTTCAAATCGCAGCACTGAGCAAGCGAGAGCCCAAGTTAATTGCTTCTCCCTTTCAAATAACCATGTATCCAAATATCTGCCAGCAGAGCAAAGCCTGCCTTCCCCGGGGACTACTGGAGACTCCGACGTTCCCGCAGAGCCGGCCTGGATTTCCATCGCCCGGCAAAAGCAGAGAGGCCCGCACCAGGAGCCGGAGCCGAACAGAGGAAAACCAGYGCTTCCAGATGTGAAGTCAGATAAAGAAAAGCACAACAAGGAGAAGGAGAGGACGGAGGTACTGGCAGCATGGGCTTGTGGCGCTTCCCTATGGCATCCCTGCAGTATTCCTGGGATCCACTGCTGTTATCCCTGCCAGATGCTGTTGTGAGGAGAGGCGCCTGAGCAGCGCAGTCCTAAGCAGCAAAGACACTGCTCTGGCAAACGTGGCCCCTGGTTGCTCAGATAAGTGAGCTCCTATCGCCACGAAATCCCGGAGCTATTCCAGGGGTGTGGAGTTTCCTGGGTGCCCAATCAAAGCTTCCCAGATCTAATGTGATTATAGACATGAAAATAACCAAAATGGGGCGCCAGGCTGTGCCATTTCAGGCAGCTCTCCGCACACGAAAATACAGTCGCTTTGCCTCTTCTAAGCACATGTGGCTCCCATTCCTTCTGACTGATACAAGCCTGAATGAACAGCTTGGTCCCAGCAGCTCCTAGGTAACAATTTTTAGAGCCTTGAGAAGTGAAATAGGATAAAAATAACTTCTTGCGCTTGCAGAAACTGCCAAGATATAAATCCTGGTTCTTTATATACAGATAACTCAGACACCCATGTGCTGGCAGGGAAAAGGAGCTAATTCCAAGATCCTCAGCCATTCTGGGCTTAAGAGAACCAGGAGCAGTGAGATTAACAAGAAATCATACACAATGCAATGCCTAGGCACGCTTGTAAGCCCCAGCAGTGCTGAACAGTGCCACAGCACTTAAAACACCAGGCGTTTAAATGATCCCAAAATACAATTCCCGAGCGAAAGTAGGAAATTCCGGATTCTGGCTAGCAGAGTTTCCTGGGCTTCGTGCCRTGCGTTTCGTTTCCCTGATGGCCGAGGGACGGATGTGCTGAGATGCTCCCGCCTGCAGAGTGGGAGGTCGGCCCCGCTCCCGCCTCCTCCCACCTGGCACCAGGCACTGGCACTTCCACACGGGCCTTGCTGGTGGCAAGGGAACTCCTATGGAAATGTGTGAAAATGGGCTAAATTTCCCCMCCTATTTTTTATTTTTTTAACGGAGACCAGTTTACCTTCAACCCTCCCAAGCCCCAGTGCTCTAAAACACAAGCTTAGGAGGCAGAAGGGAAACAGGAGGGAACGAGGCTCTTTCCAAATCCCACCTGTGTTAGCAGAAGAGTATAAAGGGCCTGGCAGGTGCTTTGCATTGGGGATAATAATAATAATCTACCCACAGATGCCATTATGAATAAGATGAGATTGTGCCCAGTTCTGGGCTCCTCAGAACAAGAGGGACGTGGAGCTCCTAGAGAGGGTCCAGTGGAGAGCAACAAAGGTGATTAAGGGACTGGAGCATCTCTCGTATGAGGAGAGACTCAGTGAGTTCAGCCTGTTTAGCTTAGAGGAGAGAAGGCTGAGAGGGGATCTGACCAATATGTAGAAGTTCATGAAGGAAGAATGTAGGGAGGAGAGCGCCAAGCTCTTYKCAGYGSTGGCCAGTGACAGGACAAGGGGCAGTGGGTACAAGCTGCAACACAGGCAGATCCATCTGCATGTGAGGAGGAACTTCTTKCCTGTGAGGGTGMCAGAGCCCTGGMRCAGGCTGCCCAGGGAGGCTGTGGAGTCTCCTTCTCTGGAGATCTTCCAAACCCRCCTGGATGCCGCCCTGTGCCCCGTGCTCTGGGTGTCCCTGCTGGAGCAGGAAGGCTGGACTGGATGATCTCCAGAGGTCCCTTCCAACCTTGAACATTCTGTGATTCTGTGAGATACAGAAGGGTGGCTGTAATCTGCCAAGTTCAGCATCGGGGATGCTAATGTGGAATCTGTGGGGCCCTCTGRGCAAGGAAGGGGCTCGGGTGAGCGCAGGGTGGGGAGGCGCAGAGCACGCCCGGGCTTTGGGTGGCAACGTCCACTCCTTTCGCTCGTGTTTCTCCAGCCGTTTTCTTTCCATCTGCATTCCTTGCATTGTCTCCCGCTGCGTGCACAGGGACTGGGGAGGCAGCCCTGGAGCCAACCTTCACACGTGGCACCTAAAACCTGCTCCGAAGAACTGAGGAAAGAGACAAAGTCTGAAGTGAAAGAGCTGCTGCTGAGGAGCAACTCGCTGTCTCATCCTGTCCCTGGTAGGAAAGCAAATGCTTTAAATACCAATGTAGGCGCTTATCTCACAGCCTTGTCAGGAGACATCGGGCTTGGCTGTGCTGGAAAAGAAGCAGGGCCGAGATCCTAATCTCCTCCCTCGTTCGAAACCAACAAGGGCAAATTGTTTTCTCAGCCCTCGTGTCTGGGATTTTGTTTGGTGGAATATTCCTTCTACCACTTTGATTTAAGTAAAAGTCCTGTTACATAAATGCGAATCAAGAATGCAAGGAGATTTCAYGGGACCGGGTCCCAAATGTCCGGGTGTGAAAAGCAGAATGAATGCAAAATTAGCTTCAGGAGCATTCCGCTTGCAGGCGGGTTTCTGAGCAAGCAAGAAAGATGCGATGCAGACTGCCTGCCTGTTAGAGGGCAAGAATGGAGATTATCGTGTGGTTTGTAGTAAGGTTAAGGGACAGAAGCTATTAATTAGAACAGCGGGTCGTGTTCTCTGGTGCGCAGAAGGGCTGGTTCCTCAATAATGTATCGTTAAGGAGACTTCTGTGGGAAAGGTGAAGACTTACAGCGCAGGCCAAGGCCGGGGATGTTCTCAGTGAAGGAGCTAAGTGTAAATCAGCAAACTGACACCAAGCCCCCCTCTATTTTACTCACAGCAGCTCCGGCGGATAAGGAGGAAAGGAGCCACGTGAGGAAAGCCGGCGCGGCCGCTGCAGCGCAGCCCTCCTGGATGGAGCTCGCCAAAAAGAAGGCGCAAGCGTGGAGCGACATGCCCCAGATCATCAAATAGAAGAGTCTGCCCGGGCGAAGAGCAGCTTCCCTAASTGCGCCAGCCCCTCGGTTTGCACCTCTGCAGACCAGCTCGGCCCAGAGCAGAGCCTCTGGCGCGGGCGAAGGGTTGTAGTGCCCAGCTGTGCAGAGAGTGTGCAATAGGTGCAGCCACCAAGTTTACCTTCAACTTCGTAGCAATCAGGATTGCCACGGCAATGCATTACTTAAATGATGCTAAGGCCAGAGACTTTGCAAAATAAAAATTCTGCTTTCGATATTTCGTGCGTTTTTGGCTTTTAATGACATTTGCATCAAAGCGGTAGCTTTGCTGAACATTTGGTGGTGGTGCAAGCTTCTCTTTGGTTTTTTTCCTCTCTTYCTTTATAAACTATGCACTAGCATCGTGATTCCTTCAATTGCCTGACACTCTCTTTAGGAAGTTGCTTGGAGCAGCGAGGGGCTCACGGGCAGCCCCAAGCGAGTACCGCGCTAGAGCGGCTGCCTGGAGGCGAGCGCCTCTCTAGCCTGGTCACACTGCCCCTGCTTCTGGGTTTGGGTTACGTTTCATGGGGCACAAGCATGCACGTTTATGCATGACCATAAATCACTTGGTTAGCTTTTTGTGAGAGCAAATTCGGTTCCACGGTGTTTGCAAGATGAGGAGATGCAAATGGAAGCCAAAGGGAAACGGGAATCTCACTAATGCAGCTGCTGTTACTTTCCTCCAAAAATTTCTCTGGTCACCCCATGTTTTTCCTGTATATGAGATCATCGTTYCCATTTAGGAGCATAATATTTGTAGAAATAGACAATTTATGAATTCAGTTAAAAAATAGGGACTGGAAAGCCAAACTGAAATGTTGGAAAACTGTGAATTTCACCCTTAGGGTGTCAACTGCAAACATCACCCCCTACACAATCGCAGTTATTCTCATTTTAAAAATAATCCCTGTACTTCACTACATTTATGTAATATTCTCATGCCCAGGAGACCGAGTCCAGGACCAGTTTGAGACTCCTGCTTTTCTAAGCTCTTCACCTTCACTGCTTCAGCATCACTGGCAAGAGAAATAATTGCTGTTGATGGGCCCAAATCACTCTGGATTTTGGCCAAAATCACTTCCCAGTGAGCAATGTGATTGCAACTATAGAAGGCAGCATCAAACCCTGCTAGGGAATTGTGTTAGAACGAATGCCACCCTGCTAAGACAAACTTGTCAATGTGTTTTCATATAAAAACCCCTTTTTGTATTCTTTTTTTAGTTAATGCCATGCTCCCTCTCCCTGTCTCATGCAAAGAGCACCATATTTTCAGGAAACGTGCCTGAGCTGTGGCTGAAGGTCCAGCCTGTTTCCTTCTAATTCTCTCAATTTTCAAAATTATCGCAGCTGCATCGTGCCTGAATTTCCAGAAAGCAGCTGGCCCAATTCCCTCGGCCTGACCCCTCCTCTTTTTATAGGCAGGTGCTCAGGAGTTAACAGAGGAGCGAGGCGGAGCAGCAGATCTTAGATCTGACCTACTAAGGATGCCTCCTCATTCACTCTAGCAAGCAGTCCTCATCCCTCCTCGGATACGCTCTGATTTCTGAGGTTTAGATTTAACGTGTATTACTTGTAAGCAAACTCTGCCYGTGGCAGGTGCCAACGAAAGGAAGAGCTGGTATCAGACTGCACTGAGACAAGGCCACACCATCAACGGGTGCAGCGACTACCCCAAGGACTTCAATCCTGTGTCATGAAGTGCAAGTCACGAGCTGGAGATTCAAGTTTGGCCCAACTCATGCTCTGGTAATCGTGTCTCTCAAAGAAATCCCTCCCCACTTTCTTCCCCCTTCCCTCTGTTTAAGGAGGGAGACGCATTAGCTGTCAGGAAATCCCTCAAAAACATCATCTACATCATCTGGAAAACGCAGAGGAAAACGCCCAGCATCACAACAGGAGGAGAACTCAGTCAGCAGCAGCTGTGACCAACAGGAGCCACCTTCTCAGCAGGAAGAACAGCAATTCCTCAGCAAGCCCTTGGCTCTTCCTCTTGGTGCTCAGCACAGGAGACAGATCATTTTTACGGGCACGTTGCCTGCAAACAAAGCAGCAGAACCAGGCCCTGAGCGTTAAGCCCCAAGTTACCTCACCCTGTGATCACAGACTGAAGAGCACGGTGGGCAGATTTATTTTGACCTACTTCACCAAGGAAGGGGGTTGTTTGGCRCTCCCCATCCTGGTTCAAGCTCAAAAAGACTTCCCTTTTTGATGTGGGGGTGGTTGCCTGGAAAGGTAAATGTGGGCTGCTCCCCCATCCATTTCTCCCTGTTGCACGAGTARAAAGTTCCCAAATCTGCTTCCCTCAAGGCAAAAAGGGCGTCTTTCAACCACAAGCATGTCTTGGGAGCTGGCTCCAGAGAGGTTTGAAAGTGGGGTAACTTCTGAAGAGGGTAGAAGGACACAAGGTTGGTCTCCTGCATAACACTGCTGAAATACAACTGGAGTATAAAGCTGGATCAGGAAGGCCAGCCTGCCTGAATAAAACAACCTTCAAGTAACCTCTGTGGTTGTCTTGCATGGGGTTAAAAAGTTCAGCTCATGAAAACACTTGATTTTAGACTGGGAAGTTTGCTTCCAGCACCCAAGGCAGCAATTTCTGGTCCCGTACATAGGAACCTCGGGATCTGCTCCTCAAGGAACTTAGGAAAACGTGGAGCTTCTGCACTGAGACTAATTTGGCCAAATCCGAGTATGTTATTTGACAACCAGTGTCCAGTGTCCCTCTGCAGCTGGTGAGTTTTACCTGGAGCCTGTAAGCCCTTGGGCACTGTCTCCCTGAGCTCACCAAGACGCAGTAGCTAAAATCTCATATATTCTTAACTCTCCTTTGCTCAGTTGCTTGTAGGAGCTTATGCTGGTATTCACCGTGCCCGGGGAAGCTACACTACAGCGGCACATTTTCATTACTAGAGCTAGCTGCAATTACTTGTTTGCTTCTGACTAATGTATTTTATGAATCTTCCCTGTTGTTAATAAATGAAGTGGTGTTTAATTATTGAGATGTTTTGTAAAAATGGTTTTGAGAGGAAGACAAATTTTTATGTTCTGACTAAATAATTAAGCGCTAGGCGAATGCGAACAACCCCAGCATTCTGGTGGTGGGAAACAATACTTGGAGCACGACCTCCTYTGCACACAGAATCGGTATTGTTGGGCTGTAATTAGCAGCAGAGAGAAGTATTATCCCGCTCGGAAAATAYAAGTTGGTTTGGATAAACTGGGAAGCGCAGGGGAGCGGGGCATGGGTTAGGCGATGCGTAGGATGCAGGGACATTTCCTTGGAGGACCCTCTTCCCGTGACCACCCCCATGGTCCCAGGGGATGAGGCCAGTGCTGGGCTCACATTCCTGCTGCTGGCGCCCGAAACCAGCTGCCCAGGGAAGAGATGGAGTCACCATCCCTGGCAGTGTCCGAGACACGCATGGATGAGGCACTCAGGAACATGGTTTAGCAGGCAGGGGGGTGACAGACTTATGGCTGGACTCGATGATCTTGAAGGGCTTTTCCAACCATAATAATGATCCTGTGATTCTGTTCTCCCCTGTCCGAACGCACCACGAGAGATGAGGCGGTCGCTTTCCGTGCTCACCTGCACCCCAGGTGATCCTCTTCGCTGCATCCCTGTCTTTTTTCCCCCCTACTCAGCACTTAGGGATGAAATTGGGTAGTTTTAAGGTTTAATTATCCATAGGCATGTTTGTCTTGGGATGAGTCGTCCCGAGGCCCGGCTTTGAACATGTTACTGCACATAGGCTGTAATGCTATAACCTCGCGTTGAGATGTAATCGCCCTAAAAAGCCAAGGACTCGGCCCATGTCAGCACGGTGATTTGTTACCGCCTTGTTCCTCCCGGGACAGGAGTAACAGCGTGCGTGACACGCAACGTATCCGTGCTACAGCCCCTGTAGTTATCAAACTTGTCACCTCTGGCGCGCCACCGGCCTCGGGAAAGGTTTATTAATTGCACGGGGAGCGCTGGCTGCCAGCGGCGCTCATGGCTTTGCCTGGTGCCGGCTCCCGCGCCGCGTCCCGGTCCCCCTATCCGTGTGCTCGGCACCGGGATTCGCRCTCACCCGCACGGCCCTACAGCACATGGGATCGCCCCGGGCGCTGTCATTCCGAAAAGGGACCTGCTCACTACAAAATGTGGCATCAACGTGCTGCTCTTTGGCTGCTCCTTTGCGTGCTAACGGGGGGATGTGCACAGTATTGAGAGAAAACGGACCGATTGCATGCGGAGATGGGAAGCTGGAATTCCTCCTGAATCCGTAGAGAAAGGAACACAACACATTATTCAAAAATACATCTCCCGTGTCATTCATAGGGGATGGAGCTGCTGGAGARTTATTACTGTCATTGTTGTTGCCTGCTGSTGCTGCAGCAGTGCCTAGCTCATCACCACGTAGATGTTATTCTGTATCTACACACACATTAAGAGAGGGTTCCTGTTTGACTGAGGTTCTTTTGTCCTTCTCCTAAAACCTTGGTCTAAAAAGCCCTAAAMGGGAAGGAAGAGCACTCATTATTTTTAATGCTATGAAGGATACTGCTGTCCTGTCTGTGTTTTCCTAGACATCTACCATTCTCCCACAGCCCCTTGGTTAACTACAGGTTTGCTTTGTAGGGAAGAGATGGGATCCTAAACTGGAAGAAAGATAGTCTCAAATGAAAGAGATACCACTAAAGCTCTTAAGGGCAAACAGAAGGACTTAATATAGCCTGAATTCCTGTGGAGATRGGGCAAAGAATGACATGTTCTCCTGAGAGCAGAGTGAGAGCTCGGCTCCTTGAAATGGAGAGTGGCTCTGATGGTTCTTTTCCGTGCTCTGGAGCTCACAGGTGCCTCGGGCTGCTTCCCAAGCTGAACTGGGCTACTCGGGGTTGGCATCGGGGTGTCCCGGCCCTGCCGTGGGGCTGAGGGAAAGGCGCCGGGAGGTCCCTGTGGAGGGTTATGTCCCAAGCAGCAGGTTCCCGTGGAGAGGAGCAGGGCAGAGCCCGAGTGCCAGGGCTGCCTCACCAGCGTGTCCATGGAGAGGCAGCTCTGCCCACGCTGGGGAACAGCCCCTGGGGGTTCTGCATCCCGAGGGAGCAGGGACCGGAGCTTTCCRTGCCCGGCTCCTCGGGCTGCAGCGGCCTGGCAGGCTCCTGCCGGGCTCAGGCACTGCCCTCTCGCGTGGGGACGTCCAGAGCCCAGCTCTGCCAGCCAGGGAGCCGAGAGCAGAGTCCCT